CCCCCCCCCCCCCTCCCCCGAAAAAAAAACGCCCCCGTCCGGTCCGGGGGGAGGGTGCCGCACGCGGCAAAGCGGACCTGACCGGACGCTCGTCCGGTCCGTCTGCTTGCAAGTATGGTATATAGTATACAGTGTATATTTGATGATATATAGTAGTAATAGGATGTACTTCCTAAACAACAGCATTTTTATTAATTTGACAAAACAACAGCATTTAAATACTAGAGAAAAGAAAACAAAAAAAAAACTCCAGCAAACTTGGGGCTTCACTCTTAGCAGTTTGCCCAAAAAAGAAAAAAAGGAAAAGAGAAAAAAAAAAAGGGGGAAGGTTTGACTAATTCGAAGTTTAAGACTACCACAGCTGGTAAAAAAGAACAAGAACAAGAACAAGAACAAGAAAAAGAAAAAGAAAAAGAAAAAGGACAAGGAAAAAGAAAAAGAAAAAGGAAAAAGAAAAAAAAAAGAAAAAGAAAAAGGAAAAAAGAGTAGAAGAGTTGGTACATGGATGAACTGTTGAAATGCAGACCTGAGTTCAAATCCCACAGGAACTAGATGAGTGAAATAGAATTCTGAATTACCTGTGGCTGGTTAGTTCGATGATCGCATCAGAAAAGAAAAGAAAAAAAAAGAAAAAAAAAGAAAAGGAGAAAAAAATGAAGACTTTGACCAACTGATGTTCTTTTTTTGTATTTGTATTGAATAAAAAAAGCAAAAAAAAATCATGACAGTACCTCATCACAGTTCCATTCGGGCCCACACCGAATGCATGAAGGTGGTACCGAGCCCAGTTCCAGTGGGTCACTTGAACTGGGCCCGCTTGGCCCCATGGGACCATTTCCAGTGACCCACTAGAACTGCATCCAAGTTCCACTGAGTCCCTCTTAGAAACTGGATCCACTGGGCCCGAGTTGGAAAGAAGATCTACAAAGACAAATAAAAAGAAACAAAAAAAAGTTAAAAAAACACATACCATGCCGGTCGGCGACCTGTCTGCCCAGTGCGCCCCCGTTTCTGAGGGACTCAGTGAAACTTTGGGGCCCAGTTTGCACAGCCTTGGGCCCTGAGCAACTGGTACCAGTGATAAAGTGCTGCTTTCCAGACTTCAAAATTCAAAATTCACAATTCAAAATAAAAAATTTAAAAATTCAAAATCCAAAATTTAAAAGTTCAAAATGAAAATTTCTCAAAATTCGATATTCGAAATTCGAAAAAAAAAAAAAAACGAATGCATACCATGGCGTCTGGTATGATTTGGACAGCTCTTGTTACCTTGAGATAAGAAATGAACTCCTCTCTTCGCGGGAAGACCGAACAAGTTGGGGAGCACCGATAGCTTGGGTACTTCACGCGGCCCATGTCCACTAAAATGAAAACAGTGAGCTCCTGGCCGCTATTAAGGAAGAAAAGCCTCTGCTCGATTGCCAAAAGAAAACGAGAAAAAAATAAATAAAAAAAACGAAAAAAAAAAAAGAAAGAAAAAGAAAAGAGGGAAAATTTTCAAAAAAAGAACGAAATAAAAAAAGACCACCAATGAAAATCACAAAACTGATCCAACTACCATCTTCTCCCCCCCCTCCCCCCAACCAAATAGAATGTACACTGTGTGGTCATTACATATGTATTTTGGACAACTTTCAGTCCAGATGCAGCTATAAGGACCATCAGTTCTAGTAAAGTACAGACCCAGTTGGAGGGTAATTTAGTAATTTCTCTGGTCCACATCTGTTTATTGGATGAGACAAATTAGGCGTCCTTCCCGACATCCGTCGACAGACTCGACACTTTGAACGATACCGATAAAGAAGATCAGCATGGGCCCCTGCAGAAGGATGGCATGCGTACATCGAGACCAGACAAATTACTAACTGGGTCACTTTTTTTTTTCTTTTTTCTTTTTTTTTTTGAAGTTTTGGACCATTTTTTGAATTATGTGTGTCATCCTTGCGCAGGGGCCATGCTAATCTTTCTTCTCTGTACTGTTCCAATTTTAACCGATGTCCCGAGGGACAAATTAAACTAGGTCACTTTGCAATTTGAAGACACTTCACTGATAATTTGTCTGACATAAAAAAAGCGCAGTTTCTTTTTTTGTGGCTGGACTCGACAAAGAACGGCTAGTTGAAAACAGATCGTGAGTTCGAGTCCCGGCGATTTATCAGATAGATAAAAGAATACAAAGCTAGGCTACCAGCCAGGGCGGCTGGGTCACGTTGTTTTCTCGGGCGGCCCGGCCGTGCAAGGACCAGGGAAGGTCCCAGCGGAAAAAAAAAACCAAAAAAAACAAAACAAAAAAAAACGAAAAAAAAAAAATCTGTTATGCAGAAAAAAAATCATCGAAATTCTTTACCAGATTTAAAATAAAAAATGAAATTAAATTATTAAAATATAGATAGATATATTTGACGATATATACATTGTCAAAGAGAGCTGCCTGCGGTAAACTGTCGGCAGAGAGGGAGGGAGAAGAGGACACAAACGAGGGGCTGTGGCAAACTGTTCCGTCGGAGTTTCACCACCTTTTTTTTTTTTTTTTTGGGCCCGGCCGTGCATGTGGTTCCCGGGCCACTCCGGCAGCCTAGATTCAAAGCTGCAAACTTGTAGGGCTACACCTACCCCCCACCAATGGGCCTAGCTCAATTGGTACACCCATGAATTTTGAACGGCAGACCTCAGTTTGAATCCCAACGAGAGTGTAGGGCTATGCCCTTTTGTTTAACAAAAGGTAGGGGGGGAGTAAAAGGGGTGCTAGAAAACACTTGACGTTTTTTTAAGTTTTCTTTTTCCGTATATCAAGCACAGTCTTTCGTTATGGGATTATACAAATTAGATTTATTATTTATCTGATTAGCGAAATTTAGGTTTATCTGAAAATACGAAAACATAAATGCAGAGAAGAAATTAGATGGAAGCCTATGGCACTAGGTTGACCATGTCGTAAGGTAGACACCCTGAAACGAATGGCCAAACTAAACAGATGAATCACTTGTGCCAACAACCTTTGCGCACGTATGTACGGCCCGATCAGATAGATTGGGATGGGAACTTACCCTTTTTTTTTTTTTTTTTTTTTTTTTTTTTT